CACGTGAAACAGATATTCCAAAAAGTTTATTTTTCAATCAGTGCGAGGTAGATCAGTGAATTCAATTGATTACAAATAAAAGATTGATATTCGTATAAGTTCAAATGATCATTTACGCTAAAAAAGAATCGGAGAATTCTTATTTTATAGTATTGATGCTTTATCGCTTAGTCCGAGCCCCCCTCCTCCCGTTTCCCTGTAACTTTAGTGTGAGTTGATTTGAAGTGTTTCATTTGTTAACAATAAAGTTCAAGTCTTTTGATTTGTGTCGAGCCTGCGACATCAATGTAGCGGCAGTGAGAAACAACAAACCTATATTTCGTCGTCGATAGTGGCGTCGGCGTCTCCATCTCCATTTTTTTAATTTCTATTGAGTTTAACCTTTCATTATACATGTTACTAAACATGTATGCCATCATAATTTTGTACTTTTAGAATATCACACTGTATTTGTTTACCTCGACTATTGTATCTGTATTTATATTGTATGTTTCTCTGTAAACTTGTATTTAGTTTTTAGAGAATAAAGTATCTATCTATCTATAGATCGTTAGGTTTCAAGTTTTTTACTTTTTTCATTTCGGGACCTTTTATAGCTTACTATAGGGTATGGGTTTTGCTCATTGTTGAAAACCATACAGTTTTGTTTTAGTTAAATAAAACCGAATTAAACTGTTTTGACATGATACATTTGTAAACCTCCATGAAGTGTTTTAAAACTTGTATAGGAGTTATTCCTCAATTTCAAGAAAAAGCATCTACAGAAAAACATTTTAAATTTTTTTTTTTTTTTACCGATTAATGTATTATAGATAAATGTACAGCCGATCAACATGACGCTTTTACACTTACAGCAGCAATATCAGGCGAGTCACAGGGTTTCGTGGAATATTTTACAAATTTATTACAAAAATACTGCTTCCGTTTGAGAACTTAGGATAAAAACAACAGGACCAAGTGGTTTGGGGATATCCCAATTATGTCCGAAATACTGTAAACTTTTTAATACTTTTTTTCTTATTATTGTCTGCCGTTCCCCTTTTTCATACCAAATAACTCTGAACAACCACTCGAACTTTAATTTGAACTTTAACTCAATGGATAGCGATACATGTCCATCCAAAGCACATTAAACAAACGATATATTGAAATCTGTTTAAAAATAGAACATATTTTTTCCGAATTGGTCACGTGGTTTTACCTCATCAAGTAATGGGATAACCACATCAAAGAATGACAGGACCACATCAAATAATGAAACAAACACATCATGTAGTGTAAAATCGTCAAATTTTGAAACATCATTACGTAATGTTAAAACCATATAAAGAATAGGCAAATCATCATTACAAAATAACAAAACCACATCATGTAATGAAACAACTACATAACGTTAAGTCACATTCACATCAAGTAATGTTAAAACCACATTGACTAATGACACAACCACATTAAATAATGGTGAAACCACATCGAGTAATGACAAAACCATATTGAGGAATGACAAAACTATATCAAGTCAATACGAAACCATATCGTGTAATATCGAAATATCATTAAATAATGACTATTCCATATTGAGTTATATCAAAACATCATTACGTAATGTCAAAACCATATTAAGTAAAGACAAAATATCATCAAGTAATAATAAAACAACATAAAGTAACATCAGAGTTCCACAGAAGACAGCTGTGGCGTTCAATAGACGCCACCCAAATTCGATCTTTTGGTGGTAATAAGCATTATTATAAGTTTCAGAACATATGGTTGAAGCAAACTATAGTTAGCGAACAGAAACCAATTTCGGGACGTACGGACGGACGGATGGACAAGGCTAACCCCTACTGCTCGCGCACCACTCGGCGGGGGCATAAAAATGTGAAACAATTCAAACGGGAAAAAAAACCACCGACCTGATTTATATAAAAAGCCATTAACAAAACAACAACAAAAAAAAATAAATATCTATGACAGACAGCACCAATGACAACCACTGAATTACAGGCTCCTAACTTGGGACAGGCACATACAGAAGGTCGCATATTCTAATCTGTTTTTGTAGATGTTTTTAAGTTACAGCAGCCTGTACCGATCTAAGAATTATTATACTGGCTGTGTTCTCTGAAAGCTAGTTCAAAACCAATTTTAAATACAATGTAATACATAAATCATGTTTTCCCAGACTTAAATAACAATCATGCAGGACACATCTAACGGTTTTGTGTAAAGACATCATATACAGTCTGCAGGGGCGGATCCAGCCATTTTAAAAGGGGGGAGGGGGGGTCCCAACCCAGGATAAAGGGGGGGGGGGGGGTTCCAACTATATGTCCCCATTCAAATGCATTGATCGTCCAAAAAAAAGGGGGGTTCCAACTCCCGGAACCCCCCTCTGGATCCGCCACTGGTCTGAAAAAAGCATGGTCATGTACAATGCCAAAATATAAGTATCGACAGGATGTAGAACAATAAGTGTTTATAATTGTTACACAATACATATTTAGTTATGTTTAATCTAAGAAATCAAAATAAATATTGGTGTTGGTACCGACAAAACAATATTCAAGATTTAACTATAGTGTTAAAAATTGATAACCTTAAAGTATAAGTTACATGTATCATAAATTAGTTTACTAGCTCTATAAACAACATCCCCTTCTTCCTTTGTAATCAGGTTTATACAGGTAAAGCTTGGTTTTCAAACTTAATCTTTGTATCCATGAAATATCTTAGTAAAGGGTTTTTAAGATTATTTGCGGTTACAAAATCCCCGATTCAATGATTTTCCAGTTATTCATGGATTACGTTCATTGAAATCTAAAACGTCACTACAGACACGGGCACGAGTTGGGACATATACACACAGTAAGAAGGGACCAAAGTTACATTGCAGTCAAAACAAGAGGCTGTCAGAGATACAGCAAACCGGATTTTCCTGCAGAGGTCGAACCCTGAACAGTTGAGCAAGTATGGGCACAATATTTAAACTTAAAACAGCTCTGAATTTGGATTGTGATTGAATATTTGATACAACATAGGTTTGTGACACAAAATAAATGTGGTCAAAGAACTGAAAAATTATTATGGTCCAATATCCAATATCTATGTACATTGCTAGAATCAGCATATCAAGGAACCCCAAGAATTCAATTTTTGATGAAATACTTCTTAGTAAAACCATTTCTGTTCAAAGGGAAATAACTTTATTTCCATGAACCAATAATGTAAATCTAAAATTAGATATGATTTAACTATAGTTCTCTAAAATTAGATATGATGTTATAGTTATTTTCAAATTATAATCTAATATGATTAATAGTTTTCAAATAAATCTGTCACTACAATTATAATTGGGTGATTGACAATTACCAGATGGTGTGTTATCTTGATAAGAGGTGAAAATCATTTAAAAACACTTAGTGTAATCAAACTTTATATATATAGTTAATAGTTCCCAATATTTTTTTTCCATTTGTAACAAACTAATAAAGATCTGCAACTTATCTATGAAATTCTACAACTTTATCTACACAATGTAATGTAATGAAATATATCATTTAATACAAATAGATTATTATCTAATGAATTTGCAAGTCTGAAAATGGATCAAGTAAAAATTAAAATTATCACACACTCAGACAATTACTAGTAGTTTCTACAGAATAACAAACGAACCTACCACAAAATTGTTCAAACAATTTACCAAAGAAAAGCAAAAAAAATCCAAAATGTCATTTATCATACAATGTCTTTTAAAAATCTTTTTAAAAATGAGTTATTTCCCTTCGTACAGAAATGGATTAATTCATCAAAAATTGAATTCTTGGAAAAGGGCTATTATAACTGACTAACGAAAAAAGCTAAAATCGTGAAAACTGAACTTGACCTTCATTTAGTCACAGGGAACAACATATCTAAATTTGAAAGCGTTTTCATGTGAATGAACGGACACTGTTTGGCAGCCGCCCGCCCACCCGCCATACATCGCCAAATCAATAACCGATTTTTACTTTGAAAATCCGGTTAAAAAGGAAAATTATCATTATAAGGAACAAAAAAATCTACTTTTTTGTCGTAGCTTTGGGTTATATACACATTTGATTGTTTAAAATAAAAAAAAAATGAATCAGGCACAATTAAGTTTTTTTAAAACTTAGTAATGTCTTCTCTAAAACATACATATATATATATATATACATTAAAGAACACAACACAACATATATATCTTACATTAACGACATATCTCTCTGTATATCTGTCTCTGTCAAATTACGTTGTATGTCCAAGTATCGGGGAAACAGGGGAAATCATAGATATAAGGTAGCTTTACTGTTTTTGAAAAAGTAATCTTTCATAAATACCCTTGTTACTGTTTGATAAATATTCCGCAATTACTGACATTGAATATAACATCACTATTGGTCAAAAGGTATAACCACTGTTCTTACATACCCCATAGCCAATAAAAGGGAAATATTGTTGAAGGTTCCCATTTCCCCATCCCCCCCCCCCCCCCCCAAATAAAAAAAACAAAAAAACAAAGAACAAAATAAAGCGGGAACGGTATCTTGAGTGTGAAAACACAGGATGGTTCCGATGTAAGCGTCAGTGACATAGGTAGCTTTTAACATTTAAAGAATTTGGGATACGTTCATAAACTGTTTTTTCATTTGGAATCATCTACGAGAAATACACGTTGTACATTTTATCTTTCTTCCCCCTCTCTCTCTGTTTTCTTGACGGAAGCTACGCCGCTGGTATACGCAAATAAGACTGTTCAAAATCATATTCCACAAATAACCAAAATCATGCCTAAGAGTCGGAGAGACCAGAAACATATATTGTATTATACATGTATGTCTCTGGAGGGAACACATGCACGCCACAAATAACCGAAAACATGCCTACAGTCTGAGGGGCCAGATACATATATTGTATTAAATTATACATGTATGTCTTTGAAGGGACCACGTACAAATTAATAATTGAAAAATCACCTGCTTCCAGTCAGTACGATATAAAGGTTGGTCCCGACTCGAAAACGTTCCTGGATTTTCCATTATCTCATGAGTGTGTCCGTGTTCGTGGTGGTCCCCGTGTTGATGACCGTGAGTGTGCAAGTTCACATTTGCGTCACTGATTGGACCAGCTGTGAATAAGGTTACATATTACACTATAAGAAGTAAGATATAGTTTCAGCCGTCAGTAAGCAATTTTAAGATGATATATATATAGATATATAGACATTTACTATATATAGTTTTGCTGTTTACAGTTTCTATCTGTCTTTTGTAGTTTTCGATATAAAAGGCTTATAACACCATAAATGTGGATACAAAGTGTTATTAAAGGGCACTAACTTCTTTAAGAAGTCGACTGGTTGTTTCAGTCATCGTCTCAAATTGTAGATCATAAACTAGTGATTTTTTTTTGACTGTTGATACTTTCTATATCTATGATATTTATCACTTTCAAGCAAAAACGCTAAAATTTATCAAAAATCGTCATTTTAGAGAAATAAAATCCTCTAAAGAGAGAGAAAAATACCAATCGGGAATAAGTAAAAATAAAAGACAACACCAACCCCAAAACGACAATCTGTAATTTGTGATAAAAAATTTACCTGATATAATTGTATCAAATGTTTGTAAAACATTCATTTCTTTTAAATCCCAAAAGAGACTGAACAATATATTTTTACAAGCACATTTTTAATATTTTTTTTTATGGTTGGCTGTATTTTTGTAAGACTTTATCAGGACAACCATTTGATATTCTGGGGAAGGGCACAGGAATTGATCATTTATTTTCATCTGTTAATGAGCAGACTTTTTTTGTAAAATTTATTTTCATTTTTTGGGGGGTGGGGATCCAGTCTCATGTGGTAAACCCTGAAACTGGTTATTTTAAATGTTTTACTAAAACGTTTGTATTGAAAAACATAAATGAGTAAAAATATCCTCTGTATGAAACATAATACTAATTTGTTTATACAAACCTTTGAGAAAGTTGACTCTTTCGTTTGACTCCATGACAACTGTCTATACAGACTTATAATGGCAATGAAACTTGTGTATTATCTTTATCTTGGTTTTTATCTTGGCCTTTGTTCAGCAATCCTAAGCACAGAGATAGCAGTACATCAATTATTAAAGGGGCATTAGCTATCAAATTCATGTTCACCGATTAGACTCAAATTCCCATATTTGATTTATAACATACTAAAACCTATATCCAAATTACAAAAAGTCTAAAATAAACAATTAACAATGTATGGACTCGATAATACGTTTCGTGTGTATTTTTGTCTAGACGTCGTCTAATTAACCTTCGAGGTGGCCTCCGAAGACTGCCGACGGTCATATAACCCGATATAAATATATTCATTTGCAAGTGAAAAATTCATCAGCGATGTTTCTTATTTTATTTTGACAATTGGCTGCTAAAAGCGAATTATTATTTCACTATATCACTTCCATTAATGATCGAACAAAAAAATATTTGTCTATATCTCGTAGCTAATGCCCCTTTAAGTAAAATCAATTATCATAAAATCGAAACTATAACTTCTTCTTTATATTCGTCCTCTTCTAACCAGAGAACCGCTACTTTTGTAGAATAGTGTGTGTAACACAATCTGGACAATTGGTAACAGTATTTTATTTCATTACAGACAAATGTGTATTTCATTAAAAATAATAGACTATACATCTTGTTATACAATCATATTTGACATTCATACATGTATTACTTCGAATACACTGATACATTTACCCTGCAGCAAAGTAATAACTTTGTAGAGACTATCACCTTAAGTTCACTCCTATGACTTTTACTATTAAAGGTTATGTAAAATTAGAAAACTAAAGCATACCTTTATAATCTACTGTCAACAGGAGGAATTTTTGAGGATTTACCATTCATTTTAATCTGTCGCTAAGCATGCATTTTCCCCCCTTATTTAACACGAGTTTAAATTGATTGGTTGTTGGTGGGTTATTTTTAACGTCCAGTGACAAATATTTCATGCATATTCAGGAAAACATTAGTTTAAAAGTCCGGTATATAATATGAAAATAAGGAGATGTGGTATGATTTGCCAATGAGGCAACTATCCACAGGAGTTCAAATGAAGTGGACTTTTTGTAGATAATAAACGCTAGCACATCATGGAAAAACAAGTGAGTAATCTATGTTTAAATTTTATAACGAAAATCTCTGTAATAAAGTCTGTCGTTTTTTTGACAAAAATCTTGGCTTTATTTGCCACCAAATCCCCATTTCCTATTAAATGCAATAAAACATTTAACAACATTGCTTTGAACAACGTTTCTTTCCCTTTTGTATGTGTACAAAATAGCGCGTCACTTTTGTTCTGTATTCTTACTGTTTTGATAGTGTGGCACTTTGAAAATTACGTAATACACACGCCTACAGAAAGGGTCATTGACCTTAAAACAAGTAACATTCAATAAAATCAAGTGATATAGAAATTTCTTGCGCGTAAATAATATCTTTTTAAATACTTTCTACAACATTACATGTTGAACGATTTCTTTGCAACATGTATGATATAAATTAAATACTACGCCGCATTTTTAGCACAGTTCTATTTTCAAACCAAGTGGCATATATCAAGATCATAACATTATAAAACAATGGGATATAAATAGATCAATATTGATTAATATTACGAAGCCTACATTTCTTGTTATTTCTTGTCTTGAGTATTGAATAAATTTAACAAATAAATGTAAAATGTATCTTACCTTACACGATAAAAAATTGAATAACTTTCTCTCTACAGCTCACATGAGATTACGGTTCGATGATTCCAGGTGAACTCCAGCCTTCTCCTCTAGTTGGACACATCGCAAGTAATTGATTATACACTGTAAAAATATTGTAAAACGACAAATTTATGTGAATAAAATATCAATCGATTGCATCGTACAAAGCGGAAATATTAAATACTCAAAGATTCAGCGATAAGGTAAGGTTGCAATCTGTTTTCTTGTCGTTTGACTCTGAATTTATATGTTAAGGGGGGATAATTGCAAATAATAATAATAATAAATTCTTTATTTTCAGAAGGTAACACAGATAACAAAACGGTTAATCCACCCCATTGCCTTCTACATCTACATGCTATATTTATACATACACAAAGATAAACAAAACAAAATGCTATTACACTACATGTGTACAAGATAGTACAGAATAGACCAATACTGCTGACATGTAAAAAGTATGACTACAGTAAAGTTATAGCATTTTAACTACAAAAAGTTCTCTTCTTGTATCTTTCATAGATACGATTGACAGGTTGCTTTAAAAATATTTACACTTTTATACTTTCTTTCAAATTTAAAGGCAAAGAATTCCACAACAAGGTTCTAGAATACTTAAAAGTTCTTTTACCATAAATAGTTCCATATCGTTGAATGAATATATTATTTTGGGTAGATGATCTTAATGCATATTTATTAACAGTTGAACAGCTTGAAAATAGTTCAGATAAATATTCAGGTGCTAGATTATTCATACACTTATATATCATCACTGCATAAAATATTGAATTCTATCATAAATGGTAAGGTATCCTCAAAAAGTATTTAAGGTTCATCAAAAGGAATTGAAAAATATGGCCGTGTTTACACAACAAAATCTTCTATGAGTACAGACAAACTGATGCCTCTAGGAAAGTTTTAAGGCATGGCAGGACCTAGATATATAACAGTTATATGTAGTCTATGTTTCAGAAAATTAAAAACTTACCTGGATTTTGATGTGCATTTTTTCCAGTCTGCAGAAGATAGCAAAATAAACAAACACAGTTACACAGTTTAAATCACCTATAATACTACTAACAACATTTATTATATGAGGGGTATGGCATGGTATTGGTTGCAAAAATTTGATATTTTTCATTTAAATGCAATATTTCTTATTTAATTGGTATATTTCTTCATTTAAATGCAATATTTTTTTATTTGAATGGGTATATTTTTTCATTTAAATGCAATATTTTTTATTCAGATGGTATAATTTTTCATTCAAATGGTATAATTTTTCATTCAAATGGTATAATTTTCGTACAAATGCAATATTTTTTATTCAGATGGTATAATTTTTCATTCAAATGGTATAATTTTTCATTCAAATGGTATAATTTTGCATTCAATTGGTATATTTTTCGTTCAAATGCAATATTTCTTATTCAGATGGTATAATTTTTCATTCAAATGGTATAATTTTTCATTCAAATGGTATACTTTTCGTTCAAATGCAATATTTTTTATTCAGATGGTATAATTTTTCATTCAAATGGTATAATTTTTCATTTAGATGGTATAATTTTTCATTCAAATGGTATAATTTTTCATTCAAATGGTATAATTTTCGTTCAAATGCAATATTTTTTATTCAATTGGTATAAAATGTCATTTGAATGCAATATTTTTTATTCAATTGGTATAGTAGTTTTTTATTTATATGCAATAATTGCATTATGGGAAATTCTTTGACGTCATAAGGTCAAATTTGCAACAACGTTTGTGATTGGTCGGTAATTGTTCGGATTTCTCCGCTTTCTTTCTAAACTTGAGTGACCAAGAATTAAAAAAAACGCGTCAGAATATCGCCCCTCTAACTAAATTTGACGTTCGTGCGAGTTCGTGCACTGGCTGTTAATGCCATTAATGGCCAGGACGAGCAAAAAATGCGAGTGACAAGTAATAATAATTAATTTGACACACAACTTGTTCATGGATAGAAACAGATGCCTGCGTGCATGGCAAAAACACCTCCAATGAAAACCTTTTCTGAAGAAACTCTCCTACAGTCTACACATTGAAATAAAAAAAGAATACATAGCTAGCCCCCCCCTCCCCCTTCCAAGTCCAGATACATGTAATCATGACGTTCTTTAGTGCTATATCATTTTTTACTTTTCTTGATCCTCAGAGACGTTGCAGGAAGGCACACATGAAAAAAGAACAAAAAGCATCCAGGACGTTACAATTATTTGGACTAAGCCCCCTCTTTTTTTACTACATGTAGAACAAAAATCACCTAATTACGACAGCAGAACCAGAAACCCACAAGTAGAGACATAAGCTGTCAAATTTAGATATTTGTATAGAGATGTATATATGCGAGTATTGGCAGTAATGGTTATGGTGTGTGTGTGAGGGTAGGGGTTTCAGATCAAAGATCGTTTCTATAATTCTATATCTTTTAGTTTTTACCATTTCACTCTATTCTCTATCCTTTGATGTCTATTATATTTGTCCTAAACATGCGTGACATATTTGCCACTGGACATAAGGCAACCAAAAGTCAATCAACGTATTCTGTATATTTCATCATTTCTTTATTATGTTATCTATAGGTTTGGTCCCGCCCCTTATCTATTTTTTTGCACTTTAGGGACGACATCAAAAGTTCAATGTAGGATTAAAAAAAACTTATTTCATATAGTTTTTTTCACTGACACCCTACCCCCCCCCCCTCTTAACTTAATTTGGGAAAAATTGATTGACCAATAAGGATATATATAAAATCGATGTTAATTAAACAAAACTTGCAGCAATTTTGACCCCCCCCCCCCCCAAAAAAAAAAAAAAAAAAACTATTTGAATTAAGTTTTTTTATCCTTCATTGATTTTCTGATGTCGTCCCTTATCCTCTCTATGTAAACCCAATTCATGTCCTGATAAATGGTGACTCATGCATAGCATCATATGTGGTTATTAAAACAAGAAACATATTCATATTATAATAATTAATGTATGCTATGACTTATAGATAGATGTCATTAGTCCCAGGTCATGTAATAAAGTAGGTCTTATAAAAATACAATAGCATTTTAATTTTGATGATTATATATATGTTTATATATTTAATAATGCCATTTTTTTGGAAAAAAGGGTAGTCGCAAGGCATTTTTAAAACATATCAATGGGGCGCGTTTTTATTTGTTCTTCGGAAGTGAGCCAGAAGAAGTCCATTTCTGTTTTTTTTTTGCATTGGGAAGATCTTCTGGCTCTCTTCCACCTCTTCTTTTTTGATAGGTTGACGGCAGAGGCACATAACAAACATGGCGTCGTTTAGTCTAAATGAAATTAATAAATTTAGAAAGGCATATATATTAGAATGTGAGCTGTTTTATAAACGTTTTTATGGTATGACAGCCTTAGTAGGACATCCCTGTAGGACGATAAGCTGGATAAATATAAGAACTACACGGACAATAACAGTTAAGGGACGATTATTTGATATTCTAGGGAAGGGATTTTGATTGATTGGTGTTTAACGCTACTTTCAACACTATTGGGCTATTCCGTGGTGGTCAGTTTAAATTTATAGATGAAGGATGGGGAAGGGAAGAGAGGGCATTATTATTCATTTCAATCTGTCGCTAATCATGCCTATTTTTCAGCTCTTACCAGGCAACCATATTCATATATGAAATCCTTCTGTCCCCCACTCCAACAAATAAATAAATATCAAATGGTTTTCCTCTTATTTAACACAAGTTTAAATTGATTGATTGTTTGTTGCTAATTTTAACGCCCAGTGAAAATTGTTTCATGCTTGTTCAGGAAAACACGAGTTTAGAAGTCACGTATATAATATAAAAATGAAGAGATGGAATATGATTGCTAATAAGACAACTATCCACCGGAGTTCAAATATGAAGTGGATGTAAGCAATTATAGATAAGATAAGATAAGATAAGAAAAAATTATTTTAAGTCGGGTTACATGAAATACTACAAACATAAGCTCTGTAGAGCTTTTTGCCGTCATGTAGACAAATGCTTTTTGTAGACAATCGTAAGGCCTTCAACAATGACAAAAACCTGATACTGTAAAGTCGTCTATAAAAGGCCCGACATGAAAAGTGTGAACAATTCAAACGAAAAAACTAACAGCCTAATTATACATAACAAAACAATTTACAAAATATCAAATATGAGTCGAGACAGGAACCAACGACAACCACTAAACTACAGGCTCCATCCCTGGGACAGGCAAATAAAGAATATGGCAGGGTGGATATAAAAACGAAGATGTGGTATGATTGCAAATGAGACAACTCTCCACAAGAGATCAAATTACACAGAAATCAACAGCTATAAGTCACCGTACGGCCTTCAACAATAAGCAAAGCCTACACCGCATAGTCAGCTATAAAAGGCCCCGAAATCAAAACTGTAAAACAAATCAATCGAGAAAACTAACGGCCGAATTAATGTACAAAAAAATGAACGAAACACAAATATGTATAACAAAGCAACCACTGAATTACAGGCACCAGACTTGGGACAAGCACATACATACAGAATGTGGCGGGGTTAAACATGTTAACGGGATCCCTATCCTCTCCTAATCTAGAACAGCGGTGTAACAGTACAACAACATGTTTGTGAGCAACCCATCCCGAAGCTGGGACAGTGCATGGTTTAACAGTACAATAAAATAACAACCTGCACAAATCAGCAATTAACTCAAAAGATCGGTACGAGACACACAAAAAAACCAACATTAAAACAATAGACACAAAGCACCGACATAAGAGTATTTGCAATTACTGGAAGTTTGCTCAAACCTAATTACAACTGGTACTGAAATAAATCTTGTTCTCCCAGACTGAGTTATCAATCAGTACACAACGCGCGGCAAAGGATTTATTAAAAAAAGAAAACAGTCTGAGAAACGTCTGGTTTACGTTGTATATTGATATGTGGTATGAGTGCCGATGAGACAACTCTCCATCCAAGTCATAATTTGTAAATGTAAACCATTGAAGGTCAACGTACGGTCTTCAACACGGAGCCTTGGCTCAAACCGAACAGCAAGCTATAAAGGGCCCCCAAAAATTAGTAGTGTAAAACCATTCAAATTGGAAAACCAACGGTGTCTAATCTATAAAAAAAACCCGATATATTTGCATATAAATCCATATACAATGAAACGGTTTTTGAAA